TGGGACTTTCTTTCTAGTGAGGGCACATGAACTGTAAGGTTGAATATAAGTTGAGCTTTGGAGTCAAATACAAGTGCACTCAGCTAAGGGTAGCACTTAGTCACCCTGTCGGAGGCTCAAAATTCATAAGTTGATTAGTTTTCCTTGTATATATTGATTGGTTCAGGAAGGGTAAAAGAATAGAAGTCACATGCTTGAAGTACTAGCAACAAACACCACTCATGGTCATTTTTTGGTTCATGTTCTATAAATAGAGTCTAGAATAGGATAGTATCGCGTTAATTGCTTGAGGACAAACAAGAGTTTAAGTTGGGGGTGCTGATGTTCCGGGGAATTTCGGCACATTTCAATACTAGTTGCTTAGATTTTAGCTTGTTTTAATGCAATTACCTCCTTTACTTATGTAATTTTGGTGTTTTTACAGTACATCAGGACTAAGGACCCAAGAGCATGGAAATGAATGCAAAAAGACAAGAAAAGAGCAAAAAATGTAGCAAAAATGCGGTTCTGCGATCACAGATCACATCTGCGAGCCGCATAATCGACACACATAACGCAGACAAAAGCAGAGTTCTGGGCAAATCTCAAGTCAACAATGCGGTCCATTATGCGACCGCAGAACCTGTCTGCGAGCCGCAAAGTGGACCGCAAGCCAACCATGAAGGTTGCTGAAGGACGAATGTGCGATGCAAAATGCGATCGCATTTCTACAATGCGAACCGCAGATCTGGAATGCGATGAAGATCTGAAAACTAGGGTTTCAGTCTGCGATGGGGACATCCAAAATGCGAACCGCATTTCACTTATGCGACAAGAATGCGGTCGCATTTCTGACCTGAAAGGATATTTTTGTCCGTTTTCCGTCCCGATTTTCAGTCCACTATAAATAGTTTTATGATATTTTTGTGGGCTCATCTTGTCTAATTTTTGAGCTACATTCCAAGACTTAAATATTCTTCACTTTTGGCATTTTGTGGGTCAAGAATCTTCACTTTGTAAGCTTTATGGCAATTAATATTCTCTTGTTTTTGTATTTTAGCATGAGTAGCTAACTTTAAATACTAAGGTTGTGGACCCTAAATGGGTGTTATGTTAATGTGTGTTTAACATTGAATATATATATATATATAATGGTTGGTTGATATTTATTTACTTCTCATTCTTTATTTATTGTTGGTGGTTGCAAACATTAACATGTGCCATTAAATTCTTTCTTTGCTTGGGAAAGTGGCTTAGAATTTGGTAGAAGTAAATATCAAAGACTCAAGGCTTTAAACCTTGTTTAATGAGATCGCTTAGGAATAAGTGGGTCTTATTTGGCATATATTGATTGTTATTAATTGCAACTCTTTTATATTTGGGAAAATTATAAAGAGGAAATACTACTCACCTATTAGGAAATATTGGGTAGTCACCTAGACATCAATTGCATATCAAAAGGACCTTCCATTAGAAATATATCATATTAACACCGATAGCATTACACTTCATTAAAGGGGACACAACCTTGGTTGCTTTAATCCAATTAATTACACTCTAAATTTTCCAACTAGTTGTTACTTCAAAACAAACTCAATCCATACTCTTGTTATTATTAATTCATATTCTTGTTACCGTTAACTGAATAGAATTACGACTTTAGTCGAGCAACACACTATTCAAGTAACCTTTTTACACCTATTCCTTGTGGGATTGGACCCCAACCTTGTTGGATTATTATATTTGACATCGACCGCCTTACACTATTTCTTAAAAGTGTAATTTGAGCGTATCAATTTCTATTTAGCATCTAAAGAATCTGGTCATACTGTGAAAGCACATGTCATCTATTGCTTCTGCTGCTTACTCTGCTCCCTTAGCAAAGCAATTACCATTACTAGTAGAGGATTGGCCCTCAGTAACTACACTATAAGCATTTGCACTGTAGGACCAGCTCCCCCTTTCTTCTTAAGTTAAAGTCGGGAGGATACCCTATAATCTTGTAACATTTTTCTTTGTTATGGACTTTCATTTTACGAAATTCAAATTGAACACTAAAGTTCTGTTTTAGGTTTCTAATAAGTACTAGTCTTAGTAGTAAAGAGTGATGTAAATTCATAATGGCATTAGGTGCAAAAGACTTAACACTAGCATTTGCAACAATTGATTCTCTGACTCTCATCCCTCATAATCATAACATTAGCTTGATAAATAGAGGGTATATGAGCCATCAACAGAATCTAACTTCTAGCTTGAGAATCGGATTCATTCAACCCCATCAGAAATTGAAATAACTTATGACTCGCATATGTTCTACATAATCTCTCGATATCACACAACTGCAACCACAAGAAGGTACTAGAGTCTCAAACTCATCCTAAAGGTCCTTTTGCCTTGAGTAATAAACGGATATAGATGATGTACCTTGAGTAGGAGTGGATATCTCTTTGTTCAAATAGAAAGACCTGGAGGCATTAACTTTGTCAAAGCATTTATGAAGATCTACACAGATCGCCTGAGCACCGTATCTATAGACAACTCCAGTAATTAGCTCCTTAGACACAAAATTTATCAATCGCGAACGACCAATAAGCCCTAAACTTCAATTGGTGATAGTCCGATCTCAAGTCAATCTTCGAGAATACCCTGGCACCGCGAATCTGATCAAATAAATCATCAATACGAGGCAATAGATACTTGTTTTTGATAGTGACCCTACCTATTATCAATATCCACCCTCATAGAACCATCTTTCTTCTTCACAAATAACACCGGCACACCTCAAGGAGAACTACTTGTCCTGATGAATTCCTTATCCAATACTCCTGTAACTGCTCCTTCAACTCTTTTAACTCAGTTGGAGCCATGCGAATTACAACACTCTCACTAGTACCATAATCCTTTTTGAGTTTCTCCTTACAGAGTACTATCCAAAAAGTGTAGCTTGTTGCATCCCATGAGTGTGATCTTCATCGAGCGACTCTAAAGAGAATAATTCCCTGTTCTGGTCAATTTAACAGAGATCGGAAGAGATCCACTCGTATCAGAAGCGTAGAAATAAAGTGGATGATTGTGATCAAGTTTAACCTCGAATTCATCGTCTTCAACTACGTCCGACATTGTTACCCACCGCGAGCAATTGACGAAACAAAATGAAGAAAGACGAAACCCAACACACAAAAGAGATCGAGAAGAAACCGCCTTTGAGTGGAGCTAGAATCTCTAGCCCAAAGGCTGTGATACCATGTGAAATTGTTGAACTGAGAGCAAACATGAAACCTTATTTGAGAGCAAAGTTAAAGACCAACAACCCATCTTGTAGTAAATTTGGTCATTCAAAATTATATTACGAAGTTTTTAAGACTTTACATTTTAACATTTATATGATTTTTGGTTGGTGTTTGATTATTGTATGTATATGCATATTCTCTTTAGAACACATATATAATTTTCTTTTCAAAGCGACACAAAATATGAGGTAGTAATATTTAAGAGGCTATAACAAAGTTAAGTGATAGTAGCCTATATTATGTGATGTAGATGCTATTTATGCTCTAAGTTAACCATACTATATTGATGTTTTAAGTGCTAAATGATAACAAAATGCTCTAATTGAGGTTTTTATGCTTTGCAGGAGCTACTCCGAGTTAGGAGGAGGATATAGAGTGTTTTGGAGTCAAATATGTAGATACAAGGCCAATCGAGAAGAGCCCGGATGAAAACGAGCAAGAAAAGGCAAAGAACAAATGGGCAACAGTCCACCGCGACCGCGGCTGGAACGCGGTGGAAAAAGGTGCAAAACAAAATTGTCTAAAACGACTGCGGTCGATCGCGGTTAGCCCGCGACCGCGGTCGATCTGGAGAATGCCAAGAAAGTCCAGGGGCCAAAGTGTAAAGCGTGGGAAAGTACTTATCCTAACCCTATAAAAACTCAACAAACTCGCCTAAGTTAAGAGAGCTTGTTTTTAGACCTAAGGAGGCAAGAACACACTAGGAGCAAGGCAGAGAATTCTTCTACGAGTTTTTCACTTCCTTCTTCCTATTTCCATTATTGGCTATGAATTCTAGTATTGTAGTTATGCATACAATTATGAATAGCTAATTTGTTATCTAGGATTTTGAGGGAACCTATTGAAGGATGATTTTCTTGTTACGTTAATATAGATTTGCCATAGTATTTTCTCTATTTGTTCAACTATATTATTATTGTGGTTGGTTGAAGAGCTCTCAATCGACTGTGTCTATTTAGTGTGTATTACTCGGGAGAGAGTGCATATTTAGGTAGTTGTTAAACAACATCACTCCTAACGTATATGAGGGATCAATACGGGGGGTTTACAGGTGGGATTAGGGATAATGAAACCTTGGGTGCGATCCCAGTGAGCCGTACTTAATGCCAGCTAGCGTAATTCCGGAGAATATGTCTAGTAAATTGTGGTAATTACTCGGGAGAGAGTTACGACAGTCAGAATGCTCATGATCGGTAGAGAATATTTAGCGAATTCATAGACAACGTAGTGGAAAGGATTCCGACAATAGGGGAAATCGTAACTCTAGACCTCCTTAATCTTGTCTCTAACCCTTAGTATCTTTAGTTGTTAATTTACTATTTTAATTTATTAGTTAAATTAGTTAAACACAAGAATTTTAATATCTATAAGTTAGAAATTGTTCAAGCTTGTCTTCTTGGTGATATTGAACAACTGTAGCTAAGCCGTAGTTCTCTGTGAGATTCGACTCCGGACTTGTAAACCGGATTATATTTGCAACGACCGCTTAATCCTTTTTATAAGGCATAGTTGGGCGTGATCAGTACACCTAATTAATGATTTCAAATTTGAACACATTATTAAAATGAAAGCTATTAATTCCAAAGATCTTCTCTTCTATCTCTCCGTCCCCATTATTCGCGGATTGATATCTATGTAATGTAATAAAATAGTTCAAAAAAATTATTAGTTGTACTTTCCGTGAGAACAATACGATTGATGCTAATAACGCCACGTTGACTCAACTTAGAAAATTCCTTAGTCAACTGGTACCACTACTTATTAGTGCTAATATGGTAAATAGATTAATTCAATATGAAAATTTCGCATCAGCTTTTGGTCCACAGTACGAAGAGTTGGTCATCTTCCCATAACGATTCGTGCCAAATTGAATAAAACTATGTCAACATCACATAGAAAATTGTGAACTCACCAAATAGAGATTGCATCCACAGCTACTTCAGCATTCTTGAGGTATCCAGCAACGAGAATTAGTGCCATAAAGTACCACATCTCCAAGCTGCAATAAATCTTGAAATACCCTTTGTTAATACTTTTAGCCGGTTAGGCTTGGAATTAAGTCTAATTAAACACAAGGAAGAAAATAACAGTAGGAGCAATATAAAAGGAAGACAACAACAAACTAGAGTTTGACTTCTGTACATTATAGATAAAAGAACTTTTACACTATTAGTTAATTTGAATGATAATGATCTACACTCAAACTTTTCTATATCAGCCTCATTTGTTTCCATATTTTTTGGCTGCTTTAGTGAAGTACTTTTGTAGAGAACATATATTATAACATAATATAAAAATCGGTTCCGAAAAAACTTGACTTTTATAGTAAATGATTGTTTTATAGGGATGACATTATAGAGATGTCTGACTGTATAACCATCCATTAAAAGTATAGTTGTTACCGTGACATATATACATAATCCTAGCCCTAGGTGCTAGTTACAAGGATACTCAGCGCCAAAGTTCGAATCACAGTATTGTTTATTCATTCTTCAGTTTAAGAATTCAGAAACCCTAAATAGTTCTTAATCACATGATCAACACTGCCCAAATGGTGCCGGAATTCCAGAAGCTTACACAGCGTTATTATATTCTTATTTTTCAATCAATGCAGCAGCTAGCCTCATTTATTGCCGTTGAATAGCGAAATTGTGGGATCTAAATTTATTTATATGACGTAAGTACATGGGCATAATTAAAGTCCTTTACTTCATTTCCTTTTCTTGTCTGAGGGGAAGTTGACGGTCGAAGGAGAGGAGGATGAACGGTGTTTAGTCTTTCGAATATTAAAATAAAGATAGGTCAACAAGAAATGATCACGTCCAGTTATTACTAGTAAATATTAAGACCGAGACATATAAAGATGCATTGTTGATAACATAATACGAGTGTACGACATCTTTTATGCATGAAACTTATGTCTTACGTAATTATCATCAACACAAGTCCCTAACTTCCTTTAAATAAATAGTTTGGATGGTGATGGATCTACTAGTAAAAGCTTCAAGACTTGGATGATCAAAATTATAACTTACATGTGTGACATCTGTAATTTTATTTTATTTGGGTCTTTCCTATTGGATAAGGACCATCAATATCATAACGTAATATTATTAGGAAAATGGTTCTAAGTATGAAATCATGAATGCATTGCGTTTACTAATAAAAGCTGAATAATCTAACTACACCACAAGAGTTATAACTTAATCTATTATTGCAGATCACATGCCTTATTATTTTATTCGTTGCAGGTATTATGAATATACAATTACCTTTTAAATAACCTTATAATGTAAAAAAATCTTGTATGTTATGTATGTGCATATAAATTAAACTTATAATCTAAACGACTTCAATCAAGAAACTCACCAGAGCATGACAGCCGATGCAAAAGATAATTTAACAAAATCCCAAAGATTTTGAAAAGCCTTTAAAGAAAATCCAGACCAAGCTTGTCCACAAGTCCCACTGAAAATATACACCAGCTGAGCCACCGCTATGAACCACCACGACCCATTCAGAACCACCGCACCACCCACCAGTCCCCACCCTAACTTGAGCATCAACAGCCAACTGAACAATGTGTGTCCGATTAGACCAACGGCTGCTATGGCCGCCATCACCATGATCTTGCTTTGAGCTTGCAAGAATTTTTGTATCGGAAAGTTCAGTGCATAGGCGAACAACTGTGGAATCATCCACACAGCAAACATACCTGTAAATCGGGCGAATTCAAGATTTAGAGTTAATGAATTCAGAATAAGTACGATATTGAGTATCTTATTATATCTATGTATTTAATTTCCTTGTTTTTTTGCATACTCATATATATAAAAAATAAGTTATTCTAACTGCTTCTGTATACCTGCCCATTTCGATATATCTGGCGTTTGACCGATGAATTTGAGAAGTGGGGTGGCGAAAATGTAAGGAAATATTAGAACCAGGGCTGTGGTAGTGAGGATTACCCATGATCGTTGCATGTAAGTTCCTAGCATTTCAAGTTGTTTTGCTCCAAATGCTTGTCCACATAGTGTCTCCAATGCACTTCCCATGCCCAACTGTGATCACAATAAATCCCGTTAACAGCAATGATGAATTCAGAATGTAGTTATTCACCCATCGAGCCGCCAGAATGAGCGTGATTTATAATTTGTGTACATTTTTTATATGTATATATAGTTCGAGCCAAAATCCACGAGTTCGGCTTACCCACAAAGTCCATCCTAAAATCCATGGAGCTCTAACTAACAATACTTATTAATTAAACCCTCTTAAAACGATAGATAAAGATCAAATTCAATCTACTTCGGAGACTTTGAAACTTGTGGTCTTAAAAGCTTTGTGGGGCCATGACATTTGTGTGGTTATAAAAGCTTCTCATTAAGGATAAAATGAGAAATGAAAAGTTTAAAGTTGAATAATTTCTAATTATAGAACTGTGTCATTCTTTTTGGAACGGACTAATAAGGAAAATGTGTCATCTAAATTGAAACGGAGGGAGTATAAATTATGATATGATGAAAATAAAATTTGTAAATCGAGTAGTAGGAGTAATATATTTGCAGCGCTATCTATTTTAAAACAATAATATATTTTAAAGTCATGTATAGGGTAGAGATGCATATCATACCATGATACCAAAAGCAAAACCAGCAATAACAGAGTTTTCGATGGAGACGGCCGCTAGTTGAATGGTACCAACATGACCAGCAAATACTTGAGTTACGGCACCGATGGAGTATTGGCAAACAGAAGTGAAAATGGCTGGAGCAGCAAGGTACCATAGTTTCTTGGATTCTACTGAAAACTCTCGGATTAAATCTTTCACTCCACGGATTTGTTGGGTATCATTTTCATCAGCTTTGAATGAAGAATTAGTAAAAGACCAATTTGAAGGTTTCAGTATTGGGCTGTGCAACTCATCATATTCGTTGCAATTTCCTATTGGTGTCAGAAGTGGCACCTCTGTATCCTTGGCCATGGTTGCCAATAATGGGAGGAAAGGGCTAGTATTTAAATTATTTGTTCACTCTTGGTTGTTAGAAGTGGGGCAGCCCAGCTTTAAATAGAATGGCATAGCTAGTAGTATTTGATTAATTTGTTCATTTTTGTCGTCATCAAATAGTCTTGTTTTTATACTTAGAAAAGACTTATAAACTACTTGTTCCTTCTGTTTCAACTTAGATGAGATAGTTTGACTTGTCACAAAATTTAAGAAAGAAAAGAAGACTTTTAAAACATGTGGTCCTAAAACGTAAGGGATATAAAAGCTTTGTGGGGCCATAATATTTGTGTGGGTATAAAAACTTCTCATTAAAGATAAAGTGTGTAAAACGAAAAGTTCAAATTTAATAAATTCTAATTTGAGGTTCTTCTTCCTCAAAAGTTTATCCAGCACTTTAGGTAATTTATTTGATTATATTTGTCATCTAAAGAAAGAAAAAGGTATTAACCTCCAAAAAGAGACTTCCTTTATCCAAATTTATGTGATGCACCTTCCTTTTCAGTCTATTCCCAAAATAATACTTTCTACGTATCAATTTATGTGAATTTGTTTGACTGGGCACGAAGTTTAAGAAAAATTGAAGACTTTTTGAATTTGTGGTCCTAAACAAGTCAAAAAGGGGGCCAGAGTACTTGTGTGGTTATAAAAGCTTCTCATTAAGGGTAAAATTAAAAATTTAAACTAAATTGTTTCTAAATTTACAAAGGGGTCATTCTTTTTGGAACAGAGAAATATGTTCACATAAACTAGAACATAGGGAGTACTATTTATATATTTAAACAATAATTTAAATTTTACACTTTTTGTTTTATCATTAATGAGATGATTTATAACCATACAACTATCTATGACTTGTTTTAAATCACATATTTTATAAGTTTTCTTTTTCTTTTTTTAAACTCATGGCCAATCAAAGTGCATCATATAAATTGGGAGAAATCCTCATTTCTTCGGAAAAAGTACAAGAGATTTTTTTTTGTTCATATACAATATTTAAAACTTATTTATCAAAATTGTCCTAATGTTGTATATTACCCGCCCTAAACAAGGGTTTCTTACAATTTATATACAACCCATTATTTGTGCCTCAAATTAGGGAATTCCGTTACACTCTTTTTCTTTTTTCTCTCATCTCCTGTTTCCCTATTCTCTGACGGTTCTCTCCATATATAATTCATTAGTGCCTTAAATTATTGTCACGACCCGGATTTCCCACCCTCGGGGGTCGTGATGGCGCCTACTCGTAGAAGCTAGGCAAGCCACAAATCATAAACTCCTAATTCCTTTATTTTAAATCCTTTTTATCATTCATAACAACAAGCGATAAATATTTAAATAACAACGAAATATGAAATTAAAGCGGAAGACTTAAATTATATAAACTGAACAAAATGCGGAAATCAACATGTGTCTCTACCCAAGAACTGGTGTCACAACATCCACGGACAATGAAATATAAGATAGAGGAGACGCCGGGCCTTCGGACGCGTGCAAGGCTACCTCGGAGTCTCGGTGGAATGAAGGCTGTCTCCCGAGCTACTGCTACTGTCCGGAACCTGGATCTGTGCAAAAGAGCACAGAGTGTAGTATCAGCACAACCGACCCCATGTGCTGGTGCCTAGCCTAACCTCGGCGAAGTAGTGACGAGGCTAGGACCGGACTATCAAATAAACCTGTGCAGTTATATAATATACAGCGGAAAGTAAAGCAGGTATAAGCAAGTAAGGATGGGAGGGGGAAACATGCTTTGGGGAATAACAGGTAAAACAGAATATCAAGAGAACCATAAAGGAATCAAAATCCAACCACTAGCAAGAATAAGGAAAACAAAGGCAGATTTCACTTTCTTCTCACATCTTATTGCAGGCGTGCGACCCGATCCCATTTCATTATATCTCGTGGTAGGCGTACCACCCGCTCCCATTTCATTATATCTCGTGGTAGGCGTACCACCCGCTCCCATTTTATTATATCTCGTGGTAGGCATACCACCCGCTCCCATTTCATTATATCTCGTGGTAGGCGTACCACCCGCTCCCTAATCATATTGTTGCGGCGTGCAACCCGATCCATAGATATATATAATAGTGTTGCGGCGTGCAACCCGATCCGAATATATATAATAATGTTGCAGCGTGCAACCCGATCCATATATAATATTGTTGTAGCGTGCAACCCGATCCATATATAATATTATTGCGGCGTGCAACCCGATCCATATATATATATATATATATATATATATATATATATAATAGTGTTGCGGCGTGCAACCCGATCCATATATAATATTTACAATTATAACAAGAGTCCCGACAAGGGATCAAAGGTCTACACTATCCCGACAAGGGAAAAAGAAACAACTATAACCAAACTTGCTACAACACTTATCTACCTCAGCCATACCCAAACTTGTTACAACACCTAACTACCTCAACTATACCCAAACTTGTTACAACACCTAACTACCTCAGCTATACCCAAACGTGTTACAACACCTAACTACCTCAGCTATACCCAAACTTGTTACAACACCTAAGTACCTCGGCTATACCCAAACTTGTCCCAACATCTAACTACCTCAGCTATAACCATAATCCTTACCTAACACAAAGAATCATCAAACTAAGTATCCGTAATATCAATGAAGAACACAATACAAGGGAATCACAACTCAACAATAGCCCGACAAGGGGGGAACATAACGATCTCTTCTCTTTCTCACTTTTACCTCAAAATTCACTTCATCACTCGAGCCACTGCTCTAGAGGAACAATTATCACTTATGCTTTCACCATTCGTTATACAACTGGAGCCAACGCTCCTCAACGTTCATAGGTCACAATTCTTTTCACAACTTTACACAACAAACAGAAATTTTCACCAAGGCATGAATAATACAACGAAATCATGGAAATCACAATATAAGACTCACGGTCATGCTCGACACCGACGTATAGATACTCGTCACCATGCCTATACATCGTACTCAACAAGAAACAAATAGCAAATAGGACGCAACTCCTAATCCCTCAAGCTAAGGTTAGACTAAACACTTACCTCGATGCCTTGTACACAACTCAAGCCTCAATTATAGCTTTACCCCTTGATTCCACCGCCAATTCGCTCGTATCTAATCACAAATTACTTAATTACATTAATAAACACTAAATGAATCAACCCCAATGCATGAAAATGAGTCTTCCAAAGATTTACCAAAAAAGTAAAAAATTGCCCCCGGGCCCATGTGGCCAAAACCCGAGGTTCGAACCAAAACCGAATTACCCATTCCCCCACGAACTCAAATATATAATTTGTTTTGAAATCGGACCTCAAATTGAGGTGGTTCTACCCAAAACACCCAATTTCCCCCATGAAAATCTTTGATTTTAGGTTGAAATCATGTTAAAAGATGTTAATGATTGAAAGAAATGAGTAAAAACTAACTTACAATTGATTTGGAAGAAGACTTGTTCTTAGAAAATCGCCCAAAGGAGTCGTGTTTTGAAAAAAATGTGAAAAATGACTTAAAATCGGCTAAGTATAGAAAAATGTAAGTCTCAGATATGGGAAATGCGAACAAGTGTTCGCAATTCCGAACCCCGACCTCTGAGATGTGGGAAATGCGAAACAGGGTTTGCATTTGCGAACCCTTCAGAAATTCCCAGTTTTCGCATTTGCGAATGAGTGGTCGCATTTGCGACATCGCTTTTGCGATTGCTGCATCGCATTTGGACCTCAGGCGGAAAAAGGGATCTTCACATTTGCGATCCCGGACGTTGCATTTGCGACAGGCTGCAAAACTTTCCTTCTCGCATTTGCGATGCCAGGCTCGCATTTATGAGACCTGCTTCGCAAATGCGAAGACTGCAGAACAGGCATACCAGATTATTTTCAAAGTTCAAAAATGCACCCGTGGCCTATCCAAAATTCACCCGAGCCCTCGGGGCTCCAAACTAAATATACACACAACCTCAAAAATATCCTAAGGACTTATTCGTGTGATCAAATCGCCAAAATAACATCGTAAACATCGAATTAAGCCTCAAAGTCCAAGAATTCTTTCAAACTTCAAAAAACATCAAATTTTCCAATTTAGGTCCGAATCACGTCAAACGACGTCCGTTTTCAACCAAATTTCATAGGAATGACTTAAACCATATATAAGACCTGTATAGGGCGCCAGAACTAAAATACGGGCCCGATACCAACACGTTCAATTCCATTTTCATTTCAAATTTCCTTAAACAATTTCATAAAACAATTTTACAAAAAAATTCATTTCTCGGGCTTGGGACCTCGGAATTCGATTCGGGGCATACGCCTAAGTCCCATATTTTCCTACGGACCCTTCGGGACCGTCAAATTACGGGTCCGGGTCCGTTTACCCAAAACGTTGACCAAGGTCAAATTTATTCATTTTAACATTAAAACTTAACATTTTTCACAGAATCTCATATTTAAGCTTTCTGGCTACGCGCCCGGACTGCGCACGCAAATCGAGGCGACTCTAAATGAGGTTTTCAAGGCCTTAGAGACACAGAATTCAATTAAGAACATGTGATGACCCCTTTGGGTCGTCACATTCTCCACCTCTAAAATAACCGTTCGTCCTCGAATGGACATAAGATGGAAGTACCTGAGTCAGGGAAAAGATGGGGATAACGGCTCCGCATATTAGACTCGGACTTCCAGGTCGATGCCTCAGGAGGCTGACCTCTCCACTGAACACGAACAGAAGGAATACTCTTCGACCTCAACTGACGAACCTGCCGGTCTGGAATAGCCACCGGCTCCTCCTCATAAGACAAGTCCTTGTCCAACTGGACAGTGCTGAAATCTAACACGTGGGCTGGATCGCCGTGATATTTTGAAGCATGGACACATGAAAAACTGGATGCACAACTGATAAGCTCGGCGGCAATGCAGGTCTATAGCCACCTCTCCCACTCGATCAAAAATCACAAACGGATCAATGAACCTAGGGCTAAGCTTGCCCTTCTTCCCAAATCTCATCACGCCC